TTTGTTAAAACTCACTTCTAAAAAGCTAGCAAAGTTGTTCATTAAGTTAAGATAACTTTCAAAATTTCTAAAGGGCAGATAACCATGAAAAACATTTTTGCTTGTTATTTTTCCATTTTTCATAAATTTCTTTTTCAGTGAAAATGATATCACAAAAGCCATTGGACATTAATATATCCTCCGGACAGACGAGGGGTGGTGAGAGAAGGTCAAAATTATATCCAAAAGCATCACACCTCCAAATTCGTGTTAATTTTCATGGATATTTTTAAGTATAACTTTGTGAAGTAACTAAAAGGAAGTAATTTAAACGTTAGTGACAATTATCAAAAGGAGGTCAAAATAGCACTAAAAATCTTAGTAATGCTGTAGAAATATAGTTAAAATACTGAAAATCTGTCATTAATTGCTTGAAACATTATTATCCGAATCTTTTAACTTTTCTTAAAATTATAACATTTTCATTATTTTGTTTGATAAGGCAAACTTTGATAGAAATGTACATACATTGGTTTGTTCTTTAATATTTGTATATGTTTTCTTAGTTTCATTTATGTCATTGTTTTTGTAATACTTTTTGTTTTGTTATTAACTTATTTTATGTTTTATTTTGTTAAATTAATGAAAAATATTTAGCCTTGCATAATTTACTAAAACTGTATGTATCAGCTTTAAATTGCAACTTTTATTTTAAATAAAAAAGCATAGAAACATATTTTTGCTTTTAGTTTTTTGTTATACATTTTATTGGAGTGAAAGTTACTTATTTAAAATAATACAATGAGTTACATTTAATTTGATCAAATCAGGATTGGCCAGAAAATATTTATAATATGGTAAAACAAGAAGGATTAGGGAAATGATCAGATTAAGGTCAGAAAATGGTCAGATTTAGGGCAGAAAAAGGGTTAAGATTTAGGTCGGAAAATGGTAAGATTGAGGTCGGAAAATGGGCAGAAACTGGTTAGATTTAGGTCGGAAAATGGTCAGATTGAAGTCGGAAAATGGTCAGGAACTGGTTAGATAATGGTCAGATAATGGTTAGATTCTGACGTCTACCTGGCGTCAGATTATTACGTCAAAAAAACTTTCAAATCCAACTGTTTTTCCGACGGCAGAATCTGACGTCAGTGTGACGTCTTGTGTTTGCTGGGGTGTGTCTTATATGGTTATACATTGTTCTCGTTGTATATTTGTCAATGTTTTAAATATGTATAGATGAGACTACGTATAATAAAGAATATATATTAATGTTTTCAGAAGTGTGCAATTTTTTTACTCATTAAAATAGTACAGTAGAAACAATTTTCTGTAGTGATATATTTTGTAAATACTGGTATTCTTTTTTACGGTCAAATAAACAAAAGTTGAATTTGGTTTGTGACGATGGATGTTGGCAATAGTTCACTGCAAAGATCTGATTCACAGTGTCAAAACTATTCTACATAATTTGAAATGAATATAAGTTGAATGAATATTACTAACTTAAAAATAATATACTGATTTATAGTTACAAGGTAAAATATAAAAAGACATTCCATACAGCTAACTCACTCCCTTCCATTGTGCTGCAAACGCCAAGTTGCAAACAAGATCTTTATTTTGCATATAGATCTAGATGTAAAAAAATGAAATAAATGTTTACTTTTCACTGATTTGATTCTTCTGGAAAAAAAATGATTGTAATATATTGGACAATTTCTTATCCTTATTTGGATTTTGACGAGGTTTATTAGCATTATAACGCTTAACTCAAGCTGAAAAAAAGAGAAAATTCCAATGAAATTGTTTATATCATACTTTTACTCCCTTTCTTCATAATTGAAGTTTTGATTGTGCATGAAAAGGTAACGCATATTCGAATAAGGTAACATCCTAAGCATACCTGTAGCTACGAATATGTTGATCGATTTACGACTTCATTTTTGATTTTTTTTTTTTGATTTTTTAATTTTTTTTATACGCCCGTGCGTATTGGTGTATCTGTAAGTTCGCCACTGTCATTGACCTTTCATTCACCCGCCTAGTATGGTTTACCTGCAGTGTTAAATATTGCACTGAAATATTCTTTTAATTTTCACTGTAAGTTTTTTTGTACGAGTTTTCAACGAGTTGAACAAAAGGTAACTTTCATTGAAAAAGAACAATTTTCGTAAAAATAATTTATGAATACAAATTAAATCACATGGTCTACCCGCTCAAAGCAGATAATTTTTCAAATTCTTTTCAATAAACTTATGTTATGTAGGCCTATGACTGGATTACCTGCCCTTTTCTTTCCGTTCAATACTAAAAAATAATGGTATGTAATACACCAACATATCTTGGCAAATATTTGGATACATTATTATTGAATGTGTTATATGAAGTTTCATCAGAGATTTTTTATTGATTTATCAGGTATTTAAAGTTCATATTCACTTTTAAACAAAAGAAAAAAAAATATGAAGGTTAAGACAAGTTAGAAATGTATTTTATGCATGTATTTTGTAAATTCTTTCTTAAAAAATGGAGGATACATCCAGGTCTCACTGTCTGACCTGGGGGGGGGGACGTTCAGCAAAGATTTCACTTGCAGTTTTGATTGCCCAGGAATAGGGGGCAGGGATACAATTGTCTTAAATTGTGCTTTAAATAGCTTTCTAAAAGTACAGCTTAATAAATTCATTTTTGTAGGTTAAAAATTTAGGAATTTAATATTACATCCACTAGACAAGTACAATAACCATTTTACAATGATTTAAATTAAAACAATTTGATAAAAAAACAACAAAAAAAAACCCCATAAAATGATCTATTAAGTTTAAATATTGACACCAAAATCCATAGTTCAACAATTTAAATACATGTACATATATTCAAGAATTCATTTACAGAGTTCTGTAAGCTTTGACCATATATTGTTCAGTTTATAAGTTAAATTACAAGATGAAGAAGAATATTATCATTTTCCATGGGTCAGTTAAAGCAGCTGACCTCCAGAAGATAGCAGAAAACTGCCGTCTTACTAATATTTCAAAATTCCCCCTCAAAATCATTATATAGTTGACAGAAATCGAAATGACACTTCAAAATGTTTATATGTTAACATTATTGCTGTTCGCTTTTCCACCATCGGGAAACACCTTCTTTTATTATACCACGGAATCCTTTCATCCGGGTTTTTTTTTCTAGTATCACGTGATAGTACAGGACAATATCTCGACATGTGCTCCGGAACGCATGGAATTCGGGATTTTATCAAACATACTGGGATACCAATAACTGCTTTTGTTTTTAGCTCACCTGTCACAAAGTGACATAGTGAGCTTTTGTGATTGCTTTTCGTCCGGCGTCCGTCCGTCCATAAACTTTTACTTTAAACAACATATCTTCATAAAACACTAAGCCGATTTCATCCCAACTTCACAGGAATGTTCCTTTGTTAGTCAACTTAAAAAATTGTTCACAGAATTTAATTCCAAGCGGAACTCTGGTTGCCATGGCAACCGAAAGAAAAAACTTAAAATATCTTCTTTTAGAAAACCTTAAGAGCTAGAGCTTAAATATTTAGCATGAAACATCATCTAGTCATTGTCTACCAAGTTTGTTCAAATAAAAGCCCTGGGGTCTAAATTGGCCCAACCCCAGGGGTCATTGTTTTTCCTTTTATGTATATAGTAAAAACTTAAAAAAATCTTCTTTAAAAAACCTTTAGAGCTAGAGCTAAGATATTTAGCATGAAACATCTTCTATTAGGTGTCTACCATTTTTGTTCAAATAAGGGCTCTGGGGTTAAAATTGGCCCTGCCCTGGGGATCATTGATTTTCCTAATATATATGTATATAGTAAAAATATAAAAAATCTTCTGTTAAAAAAACACCAGAGAGCTAGAGTTTAGATATTAAGCATAAATTATCTTCTAGCTACCAAGTTTGTTCAAATAAAAGCCCTGGGGACAAAATTTGCCCCGCCAAGAGGGGGGGTCATTGTTTTTTCCCTTATATATGTTTAGTAAAAACTTCAAAAATCTTCATAGCGCTAGAGCTTAAATATTTATCATGAAACATCTCCAAATGGGTGTCTACCAAGTTTGTTCAAATAAAAGCCCCTGGGTTAAAATTGGCTCTACCCTCGGGGCCTATATACAGGTGAGCGATTTTAGGGCCATCATGGCCCTCTTGTTATATTTGTAGTAATTCATGGCACTAAAAATTGTAATTGATTAATTATTTCATATATATGACGACCAATTCTTCGATTTAACATTAAGCTTGAAATATGATAGGGGCCTACTTAATGACGAAAACTAATAAACGATACCAGGCAAACGGGATACCAGGATTTTTCCGGACCACTGTTGTGACATGTGACCGCGTTAAATGAATTATCTTCTATTTATATTGGCTACTGCGTTAGTAACGTAGTAGATTATGGAAAAGAAAACCGGATATATTAACACTTGTCAAAATTCTTTCTTGATTTAAGGTGACAGTAATGATGGATTTATACAATTAACCTAACTAGATCAGTATTTACTGTTTACTTGAATTTTTTTTTCATTTTATCATCTGGAGGTCAGTGGCTTTAAAGATTGTTTATATACTTTCTGATGTAATATAATTGATGGCTATATACTAGTTGCTAGTATACACAGGAGCTGGTATTCTGTCAATAAATGTAATATAATTGATGGGTATATAGTTAGTATAGGAACTTGATATTCTGACAGTAAATAAGAATTAAAGTCAAATATGTAAACAGTATATAATTAATAAATGTATATCTATTATATAGGGGGCAATGATCATATTTGCCTTTAATACTTATTTATTGATGGAATATCAAGCTCCTGTGGTTAGTATGAAATAAGCATGTTTTAATAATCATTTCCTTAATATAAGATTTGAGCATGTTAGATATATGAAGAAGCAATATCAATCACATCAAATGAATCCCAATCCATGAATTATTTATTATTATAAAATGAAGCACATTATATACCTTTATTTCTAGATAAACCATGGCTGTCCATGGGAAGAAAGCACCACATCCATTTTTGTCCTCCATCATTGATTCTGATGAATACCTGGAGATCTACTGTCAACCATGTAAGATTGAAGGAGATAGGCTTCCTGCTCATGGCTTTTGCACAGACTGCAATGAGCACCTTTGTTGCACTTGCTTCAAGCTTCATAAGAAACATAAACTCTCAAGAAATCACACCCTTCTAGACAAAGAAAATATGCCTAAAAGAATGCATGTACCAACATCTTTATCTGTTCATAAACAGCAGGCTGGTGAACTTACCAAAGCTTGCTCAAAACACCAAAAGGAAATGATCAAATTTTACTGTCATGACCATAAAGAGTTGCTCTGTAGTGTTTGTGTTACACTCCAACATTCAGCTACATTATGCAAAGTCGACTACATACCTGACATTTCTGTAGATATTACCAACAGTAAATACTATAATGATATCCTTAGAAATTTGGATAGAGTAACTGATCTCTGTCAGAAAATATCAGAGGATACAAGGAAGATAACAGCAAAATCTGAAAAATCTGTGACAGATGCAGTGGCGGACATCAGGAAGTTCAGAAAAGAAATAAATCAAAGACTTGATGAATTAGAAAGTCAAGCAGAAGATGCTGCTAGAGCCCTTCAAGAAGCGATCAGAATTAATCTAAAGACAGTGGAGAGAAACTGTGAGGATACAGCAACATCTTTGAAGACAACTACAGACTTTATTAAACGTTTGAACGCAACTGAACAAGCAGACAGATTATTCATGGAATTGAAGATGACAGAACAAATGATCGAAGAATACGAAAAGAAAGTTCAACAAGTGACATCATACCATGTAGAAGAATATGCCTTTCAAGCAAATGATGAACTTTCAACCTTTTTAAAGAATGATATGGCACTTGGTACATTTTCCAAGAAAACTGCAAATGAACCAAAGGTTTCATCATCTGATCATGTAAGAACCAGACAAGCTAATCTTCAGACCAAAATTGGTGTGAAGACATCAGGAGATAAAGAGATATGTAGAATATCAGGTATGACTCTCTTTACTTCATATATTCTTATTATCACTGATAACTTGAACGAAGCTGTTAAATTAATTGATGTGAGAGGTCAATTTGTTATACACCAGATAAAGGTAAATGGTAAACCTTGTGATATTACCGCTATTAGCAGTACTGAATTCGCTGTCACACTTCCGTATCGGAAATCAATTCAATTCATATCAGCATCCTCGAGCAGATTGTCAAAGAAAACTACTTTTAAGGTTAATGGAGAGTGTTATGGTATTAGTTGTTACAAAGGGGGACTAGTTGTGTCATTTTGTAACCCAGCAAAACTCCAAATCCTTGATGTCAACGGAACAGTTCTGTCAGATTACACAGGAGAAAATATCTTCAGCAATCCAGTATATGTTGTAGCTTGCAGCGATTTTATATATGTATCAGACTGGAATAAGGGAACAATTACTAGGTTAAACTGGCAGGGTGATGTGTCTGGTATTTATGATGGTATGGATGGTCCATATGGAATAACACTGACAAATAAAGGTACACTTTTTGCTTGTGATACCAACAAAGGGGTAATAGAAGAAGTGTCAGATGACTGCTCTAAAGGAAACATTCTCATGAGTGATTTAAAGAGTCTAGAAACTACCTGTTGGTGTGAAGAAACAAATGAACTGTACTTCAGCACTTTTACTGGTGATATAAAATATGACAACTTTCTTCAAGTTTACAAGTTGTCATAAATATCTAAAACTTTAGTTATATACTGTACATATTGAACATAAAATTATTTACATTGTTTGAAAGTGAACGTAAAGTAAAATATGTAATACGCATTTAAACTTAACAAATCCTATGCTGACGAACATTAGAAACGCATCACCATCCAACATGATATGTACTCTGTAGTAGGAGATACAAGCATTTTAATTTAAAACAAAAATTGCAAATATCATGGAACACTTTATTGGTATTTACAACAATTACAATATTTCTTGGACTAGAAAAAGAGGCCAGTCTAATAGAGGCAGTTTCCGGATTTAGCGTTGATGAAAAATCAGTAGCAGTTATGACCCCTGTTACTTGTTATTACAACAAAATGTAAAGACATTGTAGCATGGATCTCACTTAGCGTTAAATGGTTGGCATAGGGATATTCTGCCATTCCTGGCTGCAGTTGCTGTGGATGATGTGCAAGTCTCCATCCAAGCTCATCTCACATGTGGTTGATGTAGTTCATATCGATGTACACCGCAGGCCACTCAAGAATGTAGAATTGTGCAAACAAATTACCTTAAATCAAAGCAAACTCGAAAAGAAAGTCATGTCCAATGACTCCCTAAATTGATCACACTACAATACAGGCGTAAATTCTGACATCGGTACAAACTCAGAAGACCATCTGCAAAACTAAGGGAAAATTGTGACTTGTCAGAGAAAATCATTTATTCCAGTTGTGACATTGAATATTGATCATTTAATGGACCTAGCATGCATGATTCTTTTGGTGACATTGCATTAAAATTTGGTAGAATTTGAGTAGTTAGATGTATACAAATGTTGGCGAGAGACAAAAACAATCATGTATTATAAACCATTTAACTAATTTCGTAACACAAATTTAACATAAATGCTAAATGAATGTTATGGTGCGTGAAAGGTAATGTCGCAAAATGACAATGTCAGTTATGATTTTTTCTGATACCACGTATGCCCATCCTGACTATTGATCATAGCTGTCATTGCATAGATTTGACATAAACATGTACATATTTTTGAGTAGATTTGCCCACTCTTGGACAATTGGACTTCGCTTAGGTCTGTGACAACGCCCCCTCTGTATATTGAGTGAAATTCATCTTGTATATTTTCTATCATATTTAAGTGTAAAGATTTTTGTGGTACATTCATCACGTTGATGTTAACGTTCTGAAAAACTGTTGTCGCTTTCGTTGTGTGGGCTGTTGTGCAACCCTGTAGCAGATTTTGTAGATAATTTTTAACATAAAGTGGAACAATTTTGAATGTACTCTTTCAATATTTATTTTAATATACATGTATATCCTTTATTTGTCAAAGCTATATTAGTTTAAAGCAAGTAATGATACAGAAAGCTCTCCTTGAACCATATTTTAAACCTTTTTCTTATATGTAAGCATATAGCATGTGGTGGTTAAAAGCTACGATTGTTTTTATACCAGACCTCCTCATGACCAGTTCTGAACTAGCTGTCACACTTCAATCTAAAACTTCAATTATGTCACACTCAGCATCAGCAAAGAAACTTATTTAGAGACATAATATGTAGGTTGACATAATTTGTAATTGCATGAGTTGTTGCCAGGTAAATATAAATGTGTTTTGTTGGGGGTTTTTTTTGCCTAGCAAAACTTCAAATTCTAGATGTCTAAGGAACAATATTTTCAACTGTCTGGGGATCAATTATATTTCACATTCATATATCACAGTGGTTTTATCTGCATGTATGTATCAGACTGGAAGGAGAAAACATTACAATATTAAACTAGTATGGTGATATGGTTGGTAGTTATTGGATGAAATGCCCTTCTGATGAAGTATCAAATTGGCCCAAAAATCATGGTTAAACTAAACATATACATGTATTCTACAAAACATAAAAGGTATTCTGATTTCAAACTTGTAGAAATGAACTAGTTAAAAAAATCACAAGACATTACCAATTTATATTAAAATGTGTTTTTGGTCATTATGTTGCCTGATATGTAAATTTCAGTCATATTGGAGAAATGTACTCCACTTTAGCTTCTAAATGCTTTGTCTGGTGCTAGCAAAACTTATGCCAGTATAATACTGCACATTAATTTGTAACGTCACTTTTCATTGGATAATCGTGACGTTTATATTATTAGTTATAAAGATTGTTGAAAGGTTATATTGCCCTATATAAATGGCTGTTTGTAAATAAAACACTAAGAGTGCTATATTATAAATTTGTTATAAATATTTCTAATTGGTTACATGACTGTATATAAATGGTTGAGACTTGTGTTATATTTTTAAACAACCGTTTATATAAGGCCATATAACCTGTTAAAATTCTTTATAACTAATAAAATTACATTAAAGTTAATTTTTATTTTTTTGCTAAACCTAGTGATTTTTTTTGGTTCTTACAACATAGTAATACCTGCTCTGGGTAAATAAGACGTACATATTTATAATTTCTAAACATATTATTTTTTAAAAGTTTACATCAGATTTATGCCAATTTTGAAGTGAATTGAACAAATAATAAATTTTAAAATGCTACAACAAATACTATTAAGTATTTTTTATCTGATTTTCATGTTTAATTTTTGTAACAAATTAGTTGACCGCTATAGGATATTTTTTTCTCCCAAAGTATAGGGTGAAATGTGCTGAGAAGTGTAATTGAGCCACACATTACTTAGGTTCAACAGAATTTTTAGTTGTTACACTTAAATCTAATTAAGAAATTCATGGCAGTTTTGTTTGGCTTTGATAAAATTTATGTAGGCATTTTATTGTTAGATCTTTATAAATATGTTGTGTAATAGTTTTGTAGTTTGGTGTTGAATAATTTTGTAGTTTGATATTTCTAAAATGATAGGAAAAATAAATATAAACATGATACAAGGAAATAATAACTTTGAATATAAATTGTTGAAAGTTGCATTGATATTGTACATAAGGATAAAGGGAAATTTTAATTATTTATAGTTTTGACATTAAAATAAATCATTTTTGCTATTGTGAAAAAAACAGAATATTATTTAAAATTCTGGTGATTTCAGTGACTTTCCTGCTTTAATATAACAGACTGACTGATAAAAGGCCTCTTCCCAATTGAAATTTTCTTTAAAATCATGCAGTTTTCCAAAAAAACTTTAACCTGCTTTTTTACTTCCCAAATTAGCAATTTTAGCGGTCAAGTTTTTTCCCAAAATCAAGTGGCTAAGCTAGCTAGCTCCCAAACCAAAAGGAAAACTTGCGGCAAGCTTGCGACAAGCTTGCTGCAAGCTTACATTGGCTATTTATGCTTGCTGTAAGCTTGCTGCAAGCTTGCGCAAGCTCGCCAGTAGTTTCATACAGAATTCTGCAAGCTTACAAAACAATTTTTATCGCAAGCTTGCGCAAGCTTCTTCGAAAGTTTGGACTTAGAAAATTCTGTGAAAGCAGGAAAATGAAAAGTAGTGAAAAATTTCTAAGTACAAAAACTTGGAAATGTTTATAAAAATCATTTCACTCAAACTAATTAGCTTTTATATAGTATTATGGGATTCAAATGAAAACATTTATTTCATAGATTTTATTTGCCTGCCTATAAGATTCATATAACTTTATCAATTTTTTTAATTGTTATTAAAATTCTTATTACTTTCTCAAAATTATTAATTAATGCCAATGTCAAAAATTAGAGAACACTTGAGACATCTGGATGATGTTCAGTAAAAAAAAGGAAAATCACCCAAAATCAAAATGAAAGTCTAAGGAAATCAAGAGTGTTTCAGCTTATAAATTTTTAATAAAAGCTTTCAACACAATTAAACTAAGATAAAGTCAGTATTTAAATAAGTTATTATGAAAGTTAACAAAATTCACATTTCTTTACAATTGTGAACTTACAAGCAAATATAATGAACAATTTTTATATTGTCTAATGGCTTTTTTTTTTAAATTTCAATCACTGAATGTTAATTTATTTTATTCATGTGTCTTTTAATTTTTAATTCATTAGCACAAGTATATCCCTTCTTAAATATTGACTATCTTGTGCAGAAGTTAATTATGGCAATTTGACATTTCATAAATTGGTCTCCTGTGAGTTAATTAATTGTAGACTGTTCACACATTGAAGTGATTGTAACTTACTATAAACATGTGTTGTTGGTCAGTGATCAGTCAAGTGCAACATTACATTTTCCCTGCTGTTTTTATAATAGCCAGTGTTAAACTCACCTATCTTATATAAAAGAAAGTGTGAGATAAGTGGGGTTTACAACATGTAATCTAATACCCTGAACCATTCTGGTATCAGGATCTGATCTCAGAAAATTCAAATATTACTCAGGAAAAGTTTATTTGGACCTCAGTGCTTATAATTTAAAAAGATGCTTAGGAGTAGAGTTAAACATGTGACTAAAGTGCCATTTAGATGAAACAACTTTATAATGTGAACTTTAATAAAATTATAATTGGACATTAAAGGAGTTCTTCAATCAGATAGAAATGGAAATTTACTACTGTTCAGTGGAATAATGGTAAGTTATTTAGACTATTTTGTTACAACAGTCTTTTGAAATTTACCTTGCAAATGAACACTTTTAATTTTAGTTTCTGCTTTTTCTTCATAAATTTTACATATGTGCTGATTTAAATCGTTTTCACTGAGTGTTATTGAGTGGGAATTTTTAAATCTGCCCTTTTCTTTACATTATGTACCAGTAAATTAAATTCCTGGTCATGATTTTTCATACCATTTACATTTTGAGGATATTTCAGTAAATTATGGGTTTATATTAACAGTACCAAACTACTATCAGAATAAGCATTTTGATTTTACTCAATTTATATATTATGTATTAGTAATGAATATTTTTTTTTATTTTCAGGAAAACTTACAAATGCTACACAGGTACTATATTGAGTTTCAAATTATAATGATGAAGGAAAGAAAAATGAGGTTGATTACAGAAATAATTGATGGTTAGTTTTGTTATTCAATAAGGATAGATAATTGAAAAAAATAATGAAATAAATAATTACAATTGATTTGAACAATTTTAACTGTTAGATGAACAACTTTCGATGTAGTATAAATTTCCATTTGAATAAAATGATTGTATAGAAAATAATGTTTGTATATTTAAGATTTACTTAAATTACAATATTATTTATCTTAAATGTTTTTACAATACTTAAATGCATGTAATACATTCACTATTTAAAATTTTCATATAGTTAAAATAGAAGTTCTGATAAAAAGATTCATTATCATCTGATGTAGCAGTCAAAACCTGAGTAGGAATGTGAATAATTTTCAATTGTATTGTTTAAACAAACAATTGCCTTGTTAGATGTAGATCTATGTTGTTGAAATTATTTATAGCAATATTTAACAAAATTAAAAACTATTGCAGCAAGAACAATTTTAATTTTTATGGCAAGATTGCCCAAAAATAATATTTTACTATTGCCAAAAAAAAATATTTTACTATGCAATGTGTGCTTTCAAATATTGATCTTTTTAATTACATGCTAATAATACCAATCATATGCATATTAAACATAAATAATTAATTATTATACAAATTAATATATTTTTTTCAGTGTGTACAACAGGCAGTCAATAATATGGATAGAGAAGCCATTCTGAAAGACTGAATCTGTGAAGGACATGATTTATCATATGGATACTTATTTGAAAAAAAAAAAAAAAAAAAAAACAGTTATCTTAAATAAATAATGTTTTGTTTTATATTTTCTCAACGTGGTAGACATTTATTATTTTTTGAATTTGTGTTATAGAATTATTTTTGTTAAGATGACTTGTAAATCTAGAAATAAGTTGAAATGAATAAATTAATTCTATTATGAAATAGTTTTTTAATATTATACCTTATCACATGATGATTAATTGCAATATTGGAGAATTTAAAGAAGTTTGTTACAGGCTAGACGCAAGCTTGTCGCAAGCTAGAGGCAAGCTTGCCGCAAGCTTGCAACTAGCTTGCCGCAAGCTTGAAACTAGCTTGCCGCAAGCTTGAAACTAGCTTGCCGCAAGCTTGCAACTAGCTTGTCGCAAGCTTGCAACTAGCTTGCTGCAGCTTGCAACTAGCTTGTCGCAAGCTTGTGGTGCCTTTCAAATCTAAAGCATGCATTTTTGAAAACAGGCTGCAAGCTTGCGGCAAGCTTGCCGCGAGGTTCCAATTCTAAGCTTTCCGCGAGCTTTATTTGCAACAAGCTTGTCGCAAGCTTTTATAAAGCTTGCGATTTTGGTTTGGGAGGCTTCTTCCTAATTGGGTGAGAAAAAACACTGGATTTGTTAAAAATTTGATATACATGTACTTTGAGAAATATAAAACCATGTAGACAATTATATTGTGAATTAAATTTCAAACTCTTATTTGCATGGCATTGAAATTGAGATAAATTAAACAGTGTGAATATTTATGAATTAAACTTAATCTTATTACACATTATTAAATGTCATCAATCTGATTTGTTTTGTTATTACTGTTGCTAAAATAAGTTTCATTTTATCATACAGACTATACGCCAAGCTTACTATTTAGAAGGCTAGATATTACGTTATTTTCAAAAAAATATTCACATGATTAGAAAATTTCCTTGGGTCAAGTCGGTTATTACAAAGATTATTCAAGTGAAATAAACTATAAAATTGACAGCAATAATTGCCCAGTGTCACAACAAAACCAACATAGTGCGTTTGCGACCAGCATGGATCCAGACCAGCCTGCGCATCCGCGCAGTCAGCAGGTTCCGTGCTATTCGCTTACCAATCCTATTACAAGTAGAGAAACTAGCTCAGATAGCGAACAGCATGGATACTGATCAGACTGCGCGGATGCTAAGACTAGTCTAGATCCGTGCTAGTCGCAAATGCACTATGTTGGTTTTGTCGTGACGCGGCTCTGATGTAAAGTTATTATGACTTGATCTTTTTACCCACCATTTAAGCTCGGATAGGCAATACGCCTATAAAACTTAAACAGACTGACGATGGATTGACACACTTAATGCTGATGGATTAATTAAAGTCCCAAATTGATCACCATATGCTACTTAAATAGAACAAATATACTTGTTTCTCATATCAAAATTGACTGTCGGATACACAATATAATTGTTTAAGATTGACCTTTCATTCACCCGCCTGGTATGTGTTAAGTATTGGACTGAAATTATTATTCTCTTTAATTTTCACTGTAAGTTTTTTTTTTAAATTTTCTTTTTCAACGAGCTTCATTGAAAAAGAACAATTTTCGTACAAATAATTTATGAATACAAATTCAGTCACATGGTCTATCCGCTCAAAGCAGATAATTTTTCATATTCTGTTCAATAAACTTATGTTATGTAGGCCTATGACTGGATTACCTGCCCTTTTCTTTCCGTTCAATACTAAAAATTTATAGTACAACGGGAACCAGACTTTATTTGTGACTATGTCATGTAACCTGCGGAAGTAAATGCACCAACATGTCTGACAAATATTTGGATACATTATTATTGGATGTGTTTTATGAAGTTTCATCAGAGATTTTTTATTGATTTTTCAGGTATTTAAAGTTCATATTCACTTTTAAACAAAAGAAAAAATAAATATGAAGGTTAAGGTTACAATGTATTTTATGTATGCATGTATTTTGTAAATTACAAAAAAGTATGGCATTTAGTAATTTGATAGTATTGTTTAAATTACATTTCTTAAAGAAATGGGATATATTCATGTCTCACTGAGCCAGGAATAGGGGGCACAGGTATACAACTGACTGGTACATAATTTAATAGCTACTTCTAAAAAGTAAAGTTTAATGAATTAATTTTTATAGGTTAATAATTTAGAAATTTAACATGACATAGATGACTAGATAAGTATATAACCATCTTACAATGATTTTAAAAAACCATGAAATGATATAAAGTTAATTTTGACACCAAAATCCACAGTTCAAAAATTTAATTGTATGTACATTATATTCAAGGTTCTGTAACTTCGACCATATATTGTTCAGTTACTGTATCTATTTAGTTGAATTACAAGATCATGAAGATTGAGAAGAATTTTATCATTTACCATGGGTCAGTTAAAGATTGGTTAGGCCTATATACTAACTAATGTAATATAATTGAAGGCTATAAAGTTAGTACACAAGCTTGATATTCTGACAGTAAATAAGAATTAAATTAAAATATGTACACAGTATATAATTAATAAATTTTTTGTCTAATTATGTAGGGGGCAATGATCATATTTGACTTTAATTTTTATTTATTGATAGAACAATAAAGCTCCTGTGGTAAGTATAAAAATAAGCATGTTTTAATAATTGTTTCCTTAAAATATGACCATGTTAGACATATGAACCATTTGTCCCTCACCACTGTGGGTTCCAATCCCGACATGCACTTTGGATTTTTTCATGTGAGGAAGCTCTAGTAATGCAGCTACCTTACAGAACGTCAGTGGTTCTACTCAGGTTCCATGCCTGAAACAATGCACAGTAGGGCACCTGAGGTCTCCCTCAACCAGTAAAACTGGAACATCCCCATATGACCTATCTATACTATGTAGGTGTGAGGTAAAACCCAATTGATCAAACAAACAAAAGATATATGAATAAGCAATAACAATCAAGTCCCAGAACTATTTATTATATTAAAATAATGCACATTATAATTATACTTTTATATTCTAGATAAACCATGGCTGTCCATGGGAAGAAAGCACCACATCCATTTTTGTCCTCTGTCATTGATTCTGATGAATACCTGGAGGTCTACTGTCAACCATGTAACATTAAAGGAGAAAGGCTTCCTGCTCATGGCTTTTGCACAGACTGCAATGAGCACCTTTGTGGCACTTGCTTCAAGCTTCATATGAAACATAAACTCTCAAGAAATCACACCCTTCTAGACAAAGAAAATATGCCTAAAAGAATGCATGCACCAACATCTTCATCTGTTCATCTGCATCAGTCTGATGAACTAACCAAAGCTTGCTTAAAACACCAAAAAGAAATGATCAAATTTTACTGTCATGACCATAAAGAGTTGCTATGTAGTGTTTGTGTTACACTCCAGCATTCAGCTACATTATGCAAAGTTGACTACATACCTGACATTTCTGTAGATATTACTGACAGTAAATACTATAATGATATCCTTAGAAATTTGGATCGAGTAACTGATCTCTGTCAGAAAATATCAGAGGATACAAGGAAGAGAACAGCAAAATCTGAAAAATCTCTGACAGATGCAGTGGCGGACATCAGGAAGTTCAGAAAAGAAATAAATCAAAGACTTGATGAATTAGAAAGTCAAACAGAAGATGCTGCTAGAGCCCTTCAAGAAGAGATCAGAATTAATCTAAAGACAGTGGAGAGAAACTGTGAGGATACAGCCACATCTTTGAAGACAACTACTGACTTTATTAAACGTTTGAATGCAACTGGACAAGCAGACAGATTATTCATGGAATTGAAGATGACAGAACAAATGATCGAAGAATACGAAAAGAAAGTTCAACAAGTGACATCATACGATTTAGAAGAATATGCCTTTCAAGCAAATGATGAGCTTTCAGCCTTTTTAAAGAACGATATGGCACTTGGTACATTTTCCAAGAAAACTGCAAATAAACCAAACGTTTCATCATCTGATCATGTAAGAACCAGACAAGCTAATCGCCAGACCGAAATTGGTGTAAAGACATCGGGAGATAAAGAGATGTGCAGAATATCAGGTATGGCTGTCTTTACCCCAGATCTTCTTATCATCACTGATAACTTGAACGAAGCTGTTAAATTAATTGATGTCAGAGGTCAATGTGTCATACACCAGATAAATGTAAATGGTAAACCTTGTAATATTACCGCTATTAGCAGTACTGAATTTGCTGTCACACTTCCATTTCGGAAATCTATTCAATTCATATCAGCATCCTCGAGCAGATTGTCAATGAAAACTGCTTTAAAGGTTAATGGAGAGTGTTATGGTATTAGTTGTTACAAAGGGAGACTAGTCGTGTCATTTTGTAACCCAGCAAAACTCCAAATCCTTGATGTCAACGGAACAGTTCTGTCAGATTTCACGGGAGAAAATATCTTCAGCAATCCAGTATATGTTGTAGCTTGCAGAGATTTTATATATGTATCAGACTGGAATAAGGGAACAATTACAAGGTTAAACTGGCAGGGGGATGTGTCTGGTATTTATGATGTTATGGATGGTCCATATGGAATAACACTGGCAAATAAAGGTACACTTTTTGCTTGTGATTACAGCAAAGGGGTAATAGAAGAAGTGTCAGATGACTGCTCTAAAGGAAACATTCTCATGAGTGATTTAAAGAGACTAGAAACTACCTGTTGGTGTGAAGAAACAAATGAACTCTACTTCAGCAATTTCACTAGTGATGCAGAATATGATAACTTTCTTCAAGTTTACAAGTTGTCATAAATATCGAAAATACTATACAAAAGTCATGTTGAACATATATGATTCTTTTGGTGACATCGCATTAAAATTTGGTGGAATTTTAGTAGTTAGATGTATACAAATGTTGGCGAGAGACAAAAACAATCATGTATTATAAACCATTTAACTAATTTCATAACACAAATTTAACATAAATGCTAAATGAATGTTATGGTGCGTGAAAGGTAATGTCGCAAAATGACAATGTCAGTTATGATTTTTAACCAGGTTTTCCAAAGGAAAAAACTGGTTATTAGATTGAGGGATGTCGGCGGGTGGGCGGGCGTAAACAATTTCTTCTGTGCACAACTCCTTCTACTTTTCTCAACGGATTTTGACCAAACTTTCACAGAAGCTTTGTCATAAAGTGCCCTGGCGTATATTGTCGGGGTTTTGCGATTGGATAATTTTTGACCTAATTATAGCCCTTTGTTTTTTTCCCTTATATAGAATATATAGTGAACAATTTCTTCTGTACGCAACTCCTTCTACTTTTCTCAACGGATTTTGACCAAACTTTCACAGAAGCTTTGTCATCAAAAGCCCTGGCGCATGTTGTCGGGGTTTTGCGATTGGATAATATTTGACCTAATTATAGCCCTTTGTTTTTTTTCCCTTATATAGAATATATAGTGAACAATTTCTTCTGTGCGCAACTCCTCCTACATTTCTCAACGGATTTTGACCAAACTTTCCCAGAAGCTTTGTCATCAAATGCCCTAGGGCTGTTGTGCAACCCTAGAGCAGAAATTGTAAATAATTTTTAACACGATAGACAGTGGAACAATTTTCAATGTACTCTTTTTATACTTATTCTAATATGCATGTACATGTATATCTTTTATTAGTCAAAGCTATATTAGTTTAAAGCAAGTAATGATACAGATAGCTCTCCTGGACATTATTTAAAATCTGTTTCTTATATGTAAGCATATAGCATGTGGTGGTTAAAACCTATGATTGTTTTTATCATAACCAGTTCTACACGTGCTATCACACTTCAAGCTAAAACGATAATAATGTTCTACTCAGCATCCTCAAAGAAACTTATTAAGAAACATGATATGAAGGTTGACAGAATTTGTAATTGCATGAGTTGTTTCAAGGTAAATATAATTGTGTTTTTTTTTTGCCTAGCAAAACTGCTAGATGTTTAAGGAACAATACTTTCAACTGTCTCAGCCTCAAGTATATTTTACATTAGCTTACAGTGTTTTAAGCTGCATGTTTGTATCAGACTGGAAGGAGAAAACATCACTATATTAAACTAGAGGATGCTTTTGTAAAAAAGCGCATGTCTCCCCCACTGCTGAGAATAACTGTGAATGGAAACAGGAATGGAAAACAATAGGGATCATTTGATTAATAAGACCAATCATCCTATGAAGTTTGAGGGTTGTAGGTCAAAAGGAACTCTAGTTATCATCCGGAAATGAGAAATTGACCAACGGTCACTGTGACCTTGACCTTTGACCTACTGACCCCAAAAACAATAGGGATCATCTGCTCTATAAGACCAATCATCCTATGAAGTTTGAGGGCTGTAGGTCAAAAGGAACTCTAGTTATCATCCGGAAACGAGAAATTGACCAACGGTCACTGTGACCTTGACCTTTGAACTACTGACCCCAAAAACAATAGGGATCATCTGCTCAATAAGACCAATCATCCTATGAAGTTTGAGGGCTGTAGGTCAAAAGGAACTCTAGTTATCGTCCGGAAACGAAGAATGGACGGACGGACTGACGGACGGACGGACTGACGGACGGACAGGGCAAAAACAATATGTCTCCCCCCGAGGTGGGGGAGACATAACTAGTATGATAATGTGGCTGGTAGTTATTGTATGAAATGCCCTTCTGATGAAGTATCAAATTGACCCTAAAATCATGGTTACACTAAATATATACATGTATTCTACAAAACATAAAAGGTATTCTGATTTCAAACTTGTAGAAATAAACTAGTTAAAAAAATCACAAGACATGACCAAAAATGTGTTTTAGCTCATTATGTTGCCTGATATGTAAATTTCAGTCTAATCGGAGCAATGTACTCCACTTTAGCTTCTAAATGCTTTGTCTGGTGCTAGCAAAACTTATGCCAGTATAATACTGCACATTTGTAATGTCACTTTTCATTGGATAATCGTGACGTATTATTAGTTATAAAGATTGTTGAAAGGTTATATTGCCCTATATAAACTGCATTTGTAAATATAACATTCAAAATGCTGTATTATAAATTTGTTACAAATATTTCTAACTGGTGACATGACGGTATATAAATGGTTGTTTGCAATATAACCTTTGCCTAGAGACTTGTTATATTTTCAACCAACGTTTATATAGGACAATATAACCTGTCAAAATTCTTTATAACTAATAAAACTAGAACTGCCACTATCATGGCGTGAATTCCCTTGCATACCACTTTGTCAGAATCAACAGTGGCCATTTAGAGCTCAAGGACAACCTCCCTGCCAAATCTGAGGTTACTAAGCCAGTGCATTGCTAAGTTATGTATTCTACATGCTTCAAATGTCAAAATCAATACATTGAGGACAGGACATTCTTTAGCAATTGAGAAGAAAAGCTTTTTTTTGTCAAGGTCCCTGTGACCTTTGACCCAGTGACCTCAAAGTCAATAGGGGTCACCTTATAGTCATGATCAACATCCATGCCAAATATGAAGACTGTGGGTCAAAGGAATCTAAAGTTATTGGGCGGACAAGCGTTTTGAAGTCAAAGTCCCTGTGACTTTGACCTGGTGACCTCAAAATCAATAGCGGTCATCTACTAATCATGACTAACCTCCATTCCAAATATGAAGACTGTGGGTCAAAGGAATCTTAAGTTATTGGGCGGACAAACTTTTTGAAGTCAAGGCCCCTGTGACTTTGACCTGGTGACCTCAAAATCAATAGGGGTCATCTACTAATCATGACTAACCTCCATGCCAAATATGAAGACTGTGGGTCAAAGGAATCTTAAGTTATTGGGCGGACAAGCTTTTTGAAGTCAAGGCTCCTGTGACCTGGTGACCTCAAAGTCAATAGGGGTCATCTACTAATCATGACTAACCTCCATGCCAAATATGAAGACTGTGGGTCAAAGGAATCTTAAGTTATTGGGCCGACAAGCTTTTTGAAGTCAAGGCCCCTGTGACCTTGACCTGGTGACCTCAAAGTCAATAGGGGTCATCTACTTATCATGACTAGCCTCCATGCCTAATATGAAGACTGTGGGTCAAAGGAATCTTAAGTTATTGGGTGGACAAGCTTTTTGAAGTCAAGGCCCCTGTGACTTTGACCTGGTGACCTCAAAATCAATAGGGGTCATCTAATAATCATGACTAACCTCAATGCCAAATATGAAGACTATGGGTCAAAGGAATCTTAAGTTATTGGGCGGACAAGCTTTTTGAAGTCAAGGCCCCTGTGACCTTGACCTTTGACCTGGTGACCTCAAAATCAATAGGGGTCATCTACTAATCATGACTAACCTCCATGCCAAATATGACGACTGTAGGTCAAAGGAATCTTAAGTTATTGGGCGGACAAGCTTTTTGAAGTCGAGGCCCCTGTGACTTTGACCTCAAAATCAATAGGGGTCATCTACTAATCATGACTAACCTCCATGCCAAATATGAAGACTAAGGGTCAAAGGAATCTTAAGTTATTGGGCGGACAAGAAAAAACCGACGGACGGCCGGACAAGCTGATTCCAGTATACCCCTCTTACAACTTTGTTGTGCGGGGGTATAATTACATTTAAAGTTATTTTTATTTTTTTGCTAAACCTAGTGATTTTTTTTTGGTTACAATTGTTCTTGTGAATTCTTATTGTCTGATTCATAAAATATGTCCAAAAATCAAAATATTTTAACGGATTCTTTATAATTGTTTAGTTGTAGTTTTGATTACATCCAATTATTAATTCAGGGTTTTGATGAAAAATTACATGCATTTGTATCTATTATTTTCAAATTTGACATTATGTTTTGCTTGAGTAATGCCAAGCTTATTCACTCAATTTTATAAAGAATTTCTTGGGGCCTATGGGAATACAACTTTGCCCTGTTAACTTCAGTGATAAAATCCATCAAAATAGCACACTTAATAAATATTTCCTTAAATTGGATCAAGAAAATTCAAGAGGAATGAAATTAAGAAAATTTAAAAATCTAGTACAGATTTCTGATTTATTCATTTTATTTATGTACAATTAAATACATGTATATACACAAAGCCACAATTTTCATAACATACTTTCTTAAATAAAGAATATACATGTACATACAAGAAACGATGTAAACAATAACAAGGAAATATTCTAATATAACAAAGATATTCATAAATCACTTTGTACATTGGAAACAGTTATTACATTTGTCACACAATTGTTATTAGCTTATTACATATAGACTTGAAACATACAAGTCCAAGAAAATGTATATTTATAAGCTCGTAGTAATTTCAGTGACTTTTTTTTAATCTGCAACATACATTTTAATGACAAAGTGATGGTAGTTAAATATAGTTTTATATACTGACTTAATAAATTTGAAACACAAGGGATTGATTGGTTAAGCAGCATTATCATAAGAACCACACAAATATTGAGGATGTAAAATTTCCAAGAAACTCTGTAAAACAATTTTTAAGCATAAAATAAGCATTTGATAAATAAGTTTGTCTTCAAATACAAGCAATATTATGATATTATCTAAGTATCAATGAATTAATTTTTATAGTACATGTCATTATTGCTGACCTATATAATTGATGTTAAAAGTCTTAAACGGGAATAAAGTGCACATCTGTTTTTATACAAATGGGGGAATCTTAAACCATAAATTTCATTGAAAAATTTTTTTTTGCTTTGATGTATTTTGGTTTTTATTTCCACATTAATACAATACTTTTTAGCACAAAATATTAGATATCGAAATCGTCATCTGAATTATTTTTATCTAGTTTAAAGAAGTCTGTCACTTTCATCTGGGTTTTGTTGATTGCCATGATTGGTTTAATTGCTGCCATTAAACTAGAAAATATCCGTGGAAACATGATTTCCTGCGATGCTAGAAGCTGTTTGATTCTGTGACGTTCTTTTGGCGCCTCGAAACATGCAGGACAGTTCTCTGCAATGACTGGAAGTTTGTTCTGTAAAGCATCATATAATACATATATTAAAATAATAGAGATTGCTTCACAAAATAAGGTGTATCACAAAATAAGGTGTATGTACATGAATCAACTGATATTTTTTTCACTTTATCATCTTAGTGCAGTAACAGATTAACTCCTATTAAAATTGAATAGTAGTTAACCACTTACTGCAATGAGGTGACAACTTGATATCCCCTTTTATAGGAATTAAGTTGTATAATTATGTTTCAAACATTTGCTAAAAAATGGAAATTAAACTTGCACATAAAAGAAAGGGAATACTATACAAAAATTTGATCAAAAATATCATACACAGAATATTTTTTTTTTTTACACATGTATACCCTTACAACATGACAAAAATTGTTTCATTTTCTATCATTCTGAACCACTTGCCCCTCACTGCTGTGGGTTCGAATCCCAACAGGGACTTTAAATTCATTCATGTGAGGAAGCTATTCAGCTAACTTAAGGAATTCAGAAGTTCTACTCAAGTGCCCATTTGTGCCTGAAATAATACACGGAAGGGCATTTGAGGTCTTCCTCCACCATTAAAGCTGGAAATTAACCATATGACCTATATTGTGTTGTGTTGTATTTTGATTCTTTTTTGTGAGGAAGCTGTCAAGCTAGCTTATAAAACGGTGGTGGTTCTACTTATTTGCCCATTTGTGCCTGAAATAATACAAGGAAAGGCACCTGAGGTCTTCCTCCACTAGTAAAGCTTGAACGTTGCCATATGATGTATACTGTGATGGTGTGACGTAAAACCCACTAAAACAAACTACCATTCTGACATACTTACATTTTCAGCAAACATTCTCAAATCCTTCTCTCTGACATAGACAAATGGTCTGATCACCCTTAAATCCCCTTCTCTGTAAAATATAACAAAACATCATTTTTATTATAAACAAATTGTCTTCTTACTCTCTGTAAAATATATAACATATATGTCCAGTTATATTCTGTCTATATAGATATATATATATATATATATAAATACAGACTTTTCATAGACTACTCTTGATCTCTAACCTGCTGATTTCTTTAATGAAATTGTCTAGCTTCCATTATTGGAGCTGGCAATCTCATTAATTTCAGGAATATCATGATGAAAATTGAAGTTTTTAAATTTTGATCTTGAAACCCATTAAACTTTAAATGGACTGTTCCAAATTTAAAGTTGAAAAAGTCCATTATAAGATATTCAGTAGTAAAAGAGTTGAGACTATCTCACACTTGTATCATACTATATAGTTACTATTATAACATCACATGGTAATATTGTAAGTAAACTAATTTCTTCCGGAAATAAAATACATTTGTAAAGCAGTCCAACTTAGTTATAAGCTTATTTACTGAGTTTAAAACTGTCAAATTTTAAGTGTAAAAAGCTCTTACTACTGAAATATTAATAAATATGGAATAGATTTGCAACAAACAACAAAGGTTACATTAGTTAAAACAAAATTAAATACTTACTCTACAGTATAATTAGCCTTCATGGTTCTTAAAATGCCATTATGAAATATCGACATCAAGAAACTGCAATAAATATACAAATAATAACCATAAAAAGGGAGACAACTACAACTATGAATAAAATATGAACATGTGAATCATAAATGGAGAAGAATCAACTTTAGACTGTATCTACACCTTGCTTAAAAGTTTTTCTTAATAATGTAAAAAGAACAGCAATCGAGTTTGTAAACACTAATTAATATGTTATGTTGTATGAAGTTACCTTGGAAAGCTCCATAAACTTACAACAGCAGTGTTTCTTTTATCACTAATTACAACTGAAAGTTATTCATGATATGTATGCTTTT